GACGCGCTGTTTTCTCATTTCTCTCGCAAGCCTGCCTTCAACTTTCTGCCATGATTTCCGTGACCTGCCAAGTGCTTGACAACGACGGCCTTCCGCTCGAGGGACTGCAGGTACATCTTGAATGCGTTGCCGGCGTGCGTCCCGACACTCGTTTTGAAGCGACAACGGATGAAGACGGACGTGTGACGTACTGGAATCAACGCCATGCGGAGGCCTTACTCACCACAGAGGGAGAGCTTCTACCTGTCTATGTTGAGCCTGGCTCGTCCTCTTCACTGCGACTCATATTCCTGACGCAGGGCCTACACGGCTGTGCTTACAATCCTTTGCCAACTCTACAATCAACCCTTGATGTGAGCGCTTGGTCCTCCCACCACATTCTTCTATGGATCAATCGCGCACATCCCAGCTATCGAGTCCAACACCTGATCGCGCGTCCGAGTTCTTGGTTGATTGAGAGCACCGGCGCCCTGTCTGCGATGGTCAGCAGTCCCTCATCAAGTACTGCCACGAGCCCTTGCCAGTCTCCGCCCGGCCAAGTCACACACGCAAGCGAAGGCAAGCTCGATTCGCCTCCTCTACTCACGTTCTCTTCGCCCATCCTCCCTATGGCCAATAACATGTGGACTTGTTCCGCAAGCCGCCCCAGAAAGAGGAAATCTCCATGGGATGAGAAGGACGGACCGGCAATGAAGAAGCAGTGCTCCGGTTACATCGACTGCACCAGCTCGGCGCGTCAGCACATATGATCGAATCTGTCAGCATTGCGCTTGCGTTGCTTTCGTATCATGGCCACCATGGGGGACACGTCTTCCTCCTGAGCAATAGAGTCTAGAAGGGAAAGCATTGGATTATGTGTCAATTGGTATTATGATAGCCATTAGTACATGTGCTTGAAAGCCGCGATGACCAAACAATTGAATCGATTGAGTTCTCAGACCTGAAGAAGGCCTTGTTTCGTTGACCAGCGCACCAAACTAGCCGCTCGCCAGGGCTGGGGTGATGAGCCAAACAAACACTATTGGTAGATGTCTTACCGCAAGCTGCCAGCGCTGTAAACTCTACCGTATGAGCTGGCTCATCGAGTAAGCTCGCTCTCCGGCCATTGCCTTCTCGGTTGAGTTGCTCTGCACTGCAAGGGACGTCTTTTGTATAGTGAGGGTTCAGGGTAACGATCTCGCCGTCTACTTTGATCGTTAGGGTCACTTGCGCGCCCAAATGATGCAGCTCAGCAGCCTTCTTCATGAGGACTACCGATCGGGTTCTGATGCTGCGTGGCGCTGTGCGAAAGATCTTGCTTCGAGGGTCCATACTGTCCTTGCAGAGAACGGAGAAGATCCGGGACGATTTCAGACGAAGGAAGAGAGGAGGAGATGCTGCGAAATCAATCAGACATGCACTCCAACCAGTTCGTCCTTATATCTGTCGGCTGTCCGAAATAGCGCTTCCATATCCAATGCAAGCGCCGCCCTCAATGTGCGCCAATCAACGGCGTGCGCCGGTGCCGCTAGCTCGCGGGTTATGCAGCTTTGTGCATGGTTGTCTATTGTCACCACGGAATTGAACAAAGTGGATTGATTGTTGTTAAGGTACAAAAGGAGACTTCCAGAAGTCCAAACGAAGGTAATTGGTCAGATCCAGCATCGGTAAGGAGTCTTACCGGGGCGATAACGACAGAACAAATGCATCAAATGAGGACTCCACATTTGGGATGAAAGTACTCCTGGGTCACAGAACAGAACCTTGCCTGATCGGCAACATCTATCTCTCGCTAGCTTTTAGGGGTAAGGGGCTGACTGCTTACCAGGCGCTTAGCTGTGTTTTAGGATTCTCATGGCGACTTACTACTTTAAGCCTCTGTGCTGCATGGAACCCGCGTCCGCATGCAGAACAGAATTAATCATCGACATGCAATTAACCCGCTGATCAAGCGTTCGAGGTTGAGCGCCTTTTTCGCGCCAACAGAGATTGACAACCATGCCGTCAAGTAAACACGCTTGTCCGTTGAGATGGTGAAATAATCTCTAAAGGTATTAAGGCTATTATCACTGGTCGGCCTCGGCCCACTTTGTTCCACGGGCGGCCATGACACGGCGTTCGAGACTTTCATTATCTGCCTAAGTCAGTATTTCAAAGTCGTATCAATAGCAACATAGAGTAGACCGAACGTCTTCATCCTCTGAAATCGGCAAGCAGGCAGCTGTTGAGATGCCGCGACGCTTGAGAGCGGGAAGCGAAATGGTTTAAACGATCTTTGGATGATGTCACACTTCACCCCCGTATAGGCGGTTTGAGTGGCTAGTGCTTTACAACGTGGTCAGTATTCTGTCTCATCTGCGAGCTAGCATCCGCTAATATGATGCACAGCGGGGCCTGGCCTGTGACGTCAGCTGCCTATGGTCAGTAAGGAAGATTTGATACGAGGCTTGCCGATCTGGTTTTGTTTTTAACATACCTATATCCTGCATCATTTTACGCCTCATACGACGGTATCACGGGAGGATAACAGTCCAGTCATGTGCTGGGACAGTGCGGGTTGGGAACAATCATGTCTTGGAACGATAATATTGTAAACAGGAGAACGTAATTGGAGTCGATAGGAGCCTGCAGAATTGGTTCTAGATTGTTATGTGTTGAAAACGGGTTGTTTGAATAGTTCTAGGACGGTGAAAGGTTGAGGCATTGTAGTCTTGTGACGTGGAAGTGTTGGGACTGTGTGGTTTGGGACGGGAGAGCCCTGAGACAGCATGACAAAGGTAGCATGGTTTGTCATGGCCATCAAAGAAGGGGCGCTGCTGGGCACATGATTTGGTAAGGTGGTCATTATTGCGCAGATGAAATGGATACTGATCCGCGCGCCATGGCGTCTGTGGATTGGTAAGGCTGCAACCTGAAAGACCGGGGGCAGCAGCGATTGTAGATGGAAATCCTTGCTACGGGGCTCATGATCAAATTGTAAGTCTAATGTTTCCCATAAGATTTCAGGTTGAGAACTGAATTTAAGACCAAATGAATTCCAGACAAAGGTGGGTCCCCAGAAGCCCGCCGAGAATACTTAAGGCAAAATATAAAGGACGGATGGTGATCCTGCGTTGCCTCAAAAGCGTGCGCTGATGTTCTTAATTTACTAGGAATTCTGTATCGTAGCTTCGTGTCATCGCTTGATAAGTTTCACGTACGCGCAAAGATCCAGCTCGCCTTCTTCTGGTTCCTACTTCAAGTTGAAACGATGCTCATAGACGTCCCCTCCATAACAGGTGTCCAGCCAACTCGCCGCTACCTTCGGCATTGACGGCATCTTCATCAAGACATTGGTGAAACTCAAACGTGTGTCACCGATGCTGACCACAGTCCCTGACCCCGTCCTGATGCTGTCAATGTGCACCGGACGGTGACCCGGAAAGCGCCGTCATGCCTCATGGATCAGGTTGTCATAGGGGTTATTGTGCCCGAAGCCGGCGTCAACAAATTTGACCCCGTCTTGGCCGATGCGGATCAGCTTGATCAAGTTTTTGGCCGGCGATGTCGCGCGGGCTACGCCTCAGATGGGGAAGCTGTCGAGCGCCGTCGAAAAGTCGGATGTGGGGGCCACGATCAGTCGCGCATCTAGCAGGTACCCTTGGTATTTTTTAGCTGGAGCTCGTGTCAGTAGATAGTCCAGCCCATAGAGTAAGGCGTTTCAAGTGGCCTATCGCACCGCTGGAATAAGCACCCGATACATGGCCAGGACAGGGAGTGGTAGGAAAGTACTTAAGGGAAGCAAGGTACCTTCCTATCGCATGCCGCCACTCTGGTTCAGTAAGAAGATTTGTATCCAGCAATCTATCATCCAATTTTTGCATCACCAGATTACGCCCTTCTCCATCGATCCAAAAGCTTCCGAGGCTGAAATGCAGCAAACGCACCACACGGACAGCATATAGGGAAAGGAAGGCATGGTGACCAGTGAAATAAGCCGGCCCTTTGTTGAGTTGCCGCAACAATACAGCCGCATCCAACAGGTTGCTGACTGGTTATACGATACGACTCGCCGTAGGCAGCCGATTAGAGGTTTGGGAACCGAGGTGATCCATCCGACAGTCGACTCGGCCGCTGTCACCGTTGTCTACATCTCTGACACGCACAATACCAAGCTGGACCTACTCCCACCAGGCGACATTCTCGTGCACGCCAGCGACCTGTCACAGTTTGGCACCTTTGACGAGCTTCAAGCCCAGCTGTCCTGGCTCGCCGCACTGTCGTACAAGTACAAAATCATCATCGCTAGCAACCATGATCTCCTCCTCGATGGCGTTTTTGTCGCTGCCCGCCCGAACCGCGAGCTCGAGCGTCACGTCGGCAAGCGCCGTGGCGATTTGATATGGGAAGACGTGCGGTACCTCGAGCACGAGGCACTGGAGCTCGAGGTCAAGGGAAGATCTGTACGAGTGTTCGGCAGTCCTTGGACGCCGCGCTGTGGCAGCTGGGCCTTTCAGTATGGACCTGACGCGACGTCACCGATGCGCTGGGTGCGCTCTGTGCCACCCCGGACCGATATTCTTCTCGGACATGGGCCACCCAGAACCCACCTCGACGACGGAGGCAAAGGGTGCGATCAGCTTCTCGCTGTGCCAGGCCTAAATTGGTTGTGTTTGGGCATATTCATGCCGCGAGAGGGCTGGAGTGGCTGCGATATGACTGGGCACAGTTATGGTATGAGGCTGTTGCGGCCGGAACATGGAGACGGTGGGTGTCATTGGCCGGGCTGGCCGTCTCTGTCATCTGGCTGATGGCCTCTGGGTTCCTGGGCCTCGCTTTTGGTGAATGCTGCCGTAGTTGGAGGTCGCGGGAACAGTGAGCGTAGAGATGCGATTGTTGTCATAATTTAGCCGAGCGTCAGTCCCTCTACATGCCAGTACACACCTGTAACCAACAAAGGTGTCGTTATATAAAGCTATGGAATTTCGGAAACACCCAACTACCAATGAGCACTTTGCCTCTGTGTCCCTCTGTTTCGCTTTTTTGCTTTCCTTTTCAGTTGTGGCATTTTGTCAGTTTGATCGCTCGCTGTTGCTCTGGGATTATCCTTTCACAACAGCAGCAGGGATGCCTGATGAGAACATGACTTAGCATCGAGGACTTGAAAAATTGGTGTTGAGGGCAGATCATCAACCCCCAGCAGCTATCGCAGTTGGGGCAGTGTCGACCGGGTCGACATGCGCAAATGACAATCCGGCAAGTCGATGTACAATGGTGATGGTATTTGGTCGCCGCCTAGACATGATCCAGGTTCAAGGGACTAGATCAGAGGGCATTGGACAGAAACGATGCTTGGTGGAAGAGATGGCAAGGTTGACAAAGCAAATGAAGAGGCGCCCGTGCCCGTGAAGGCATGGTTTAAAACCGCAATGGATGTTAAGATGGATTCAAGACGGCACTCCCGGGCGCCCTGAGTTGCCTCGGCGCGTAAGTTGCTCCCTTAATTTTGAATCGAACGCAGGCGCTGACTGGTGAGTGTGAAGTCGGAAATGGCGTCAAGCTTGAAGCTAACCAACAGCTACTCGAGATAATTGGGCAGTAATGACCGGCGGTGGCCTGAACATCCGTCTGGCCAGTCCCGTGCACCCGGCCTCCTAAGCAAAACGCCGTGTTGCCGCGCCCGCAGCCCCACTCACCTGTTTCGGCGGCTGGATCTGAAATTGCAAAAGGCGGAGACCGGATCTGAACACTCCGAGTGAAGTGTATGACTGCTGTCTTTTCCGCCTCGGATATCGCGCTGCTTCCCCTCTCCCAGTCCATTGCTTTCTCGATGATCGCATTGATCCCTTCGGAATTGCCCTCCGCGGTTGGACCAGCGACCCATGCGGTAAAGTCATCGACGAAGGCTATGAGCCCCAACGCAGCAGTCAATCTTCCGCTGTACGAGATCCGCATTGAAGAACAGGAACAGAATCAGTGACACTAGCGATTCTTGCGGTATTCCGGTTTGTGAGGCAAATCCCGGACCTCTGACGTTTGCCCTTTTGGCCTGAAATGTCGCTGTCCGATCCGAGCAGAACGCCTCTACCTAAGTCAGTCAGTCTTCTGGGATACCCCTCGCCCTCATTCTCTGGATCAGTCTCTCTTTGAATAATAGGTTGTACGCACCCTTCGCATCAAAGCTGACGAGGCTGACCACCCAACAATCTCTCCATGCCAGTATCCGGCTTATTCTGAGCTGCTGGTGGTGTATGATGACGCCGAGGATCTTGACGTGTTGTTTGGGCTCGACTGCATGCCCCTTGATTGTGAAGGGTTCCGAATCGGATTCCAGACAGACAGCTAGTGCATGGACAAACTACTCTTAGATCGACCCTTCTGTCCGGAGATAATAGCGCTAAAAACCGCGTCTGTCGGATATTACAATATTCTCCGCTGGGGTGGTGAAGAGCCACGATGAACGGGACCAGCCCGTCCTCATTTGGGATGGGGAGAAGAAGGCTGGAATCAACCCCGGTTGTTTCTCACATGAATCCATTTTTGGGCTCAGCGGAGCGAGCATGTGGAATGGTTCACAACTTAGTCACAACTTCCTAGCCAGTAGATCAGATCATGCGATGAGCTGTTCCCAAATTCCTTGCCTTTCATTAACGCACTCAGACTACAGGGCGGGCTCCTTGCTTAGTAGATAAAGGACGACCCGTCAGTAGATACACTGGCAGTACTTGCGTTTTCACAGTCCACTGGTACATTCTCCGCCCAAGAAGTTACTTTATCTCTCGTCAGTGTGGGTCGCCGCGGGCTTTCATCGCCTACTGTGGTCAGTCCTGAGTTGCCTGGAGCAACAAAGCAACTGAAGCCCTCTTCCACCTGGTTACGACACCAGCGAAACATTTCTTCCGTAGCTTGCTTTGAAACATTGGTCTGAATAGCCGCGTCATTATCAGCGAAATGCGCCTGCTCAAAGATGGCTGGCTCTGACACTGAAGGTTGAGGGATTTGATCTTCCTTGAAGAAGTGGGATAAAGAAATGCCATGAGACCAGGACCAATTGCTCAATTTCCATCGATGGGAGCAGTTGAGGTGTCCTCTCAGCTGTAAGTCGACATCTTCAACCCTCATGTTGCCGAAAGGTTGCCAACCGTTTGGAGGTGGCAGTGAGTAATCGTCATCGTCATCTGCGTATTCTTGGTCGCAGTCGAATCGAAGTCGCCACACATCGGCCCGGGATACCATGCCGTTCTTCACATAGGGATCGTTGGCTCTTAAATCTAGGAAAGACTGCGCCGTGCTGGTCCATCTACCCATGTCTGCGTTTGGCCACGGCTTCCAGTAGAGATCATCGAGCGACTGAGAAAAGCGATTGAGAGTTACAGTCTGACCACAAAGCGTGATACCGAGCCACAACGGGGCAAGCTTCGTAAAAGAAAGGGCCTTGGCGAAGAGTTCCAATCGTTGTTCTTGAATCAGAGGCTTTAGTACAGCTCGCATTCCACCCACCCAAGCCCCTGCGTGATTACAGGTGATGCCATGTTCCCAAAGGATGGTATACAGGCAACAACCGATTTTGTTCGATGTGCTAAGCGTCATGTAGTAATCGAGATGCTCGAAGTCTTGTGGAAGGTTGACTAGATTTGATGTCGTTGCTAGGTTTGTTGCTTCTAAAGATGGTTCCGGGAATTCGATGACGCTGGGCCCTTTGGGACCCGTTCGATGAATAGGAAGGCAAATGACTGATGCCAGTGCAGCCGATGATTGCGTTCCCAGCTTGTAGGCACGAGAAAGCCGTTCGATATATTGTGCTGCCTCTACCGAAGTGGGCGGATGCGGATATCCAATAGCTGAGGTGTCACCAGTGACTCCAAATTCAAGGTCATCGGTGTGCAGGGCCCATGGCATGATGGATCCATCAGTCATCCTCCAATGGATACCATGCGAAAGAAGCGCCTTCCACCATAGTAGTTCTTGCCGGTCGATATCGCCTAGATCAAGCATGATTCGTCGGGCTGTGGAAGGCGCGATCGGTGTGTCGAAGTATTCCAGCTCAAGTCCCTGCCTTTCTGCGAGACTGACAGTTAATACATATGCCCAAGCCACGATGAACAATGCAATTCCGTTGTTGGATGACTCGTCCCAGCGACGGAAGTTCTCCGAGGTTGACAAGATACAGCGGAGGGGATATCGCGACCTGAGTTGGCATTCGAGCGGTTTGCCAGTCTTTGCGCGGAGACTGCAATCAGTATCAAGATTATCCCAGGTCGAGCACCCGGCAATTGATTTCAAATGTCTAGGGATGCTCCTTGGTAGAGCCGGTATTGTACCAAGGACGCTGACGAGGTTCGTGCACTCCGTAGGGATAGAGTGGCAGGACGCAGCAGCATCAACTGCTGCGTGCCATCGAATTAGGCTCCTCCGAAGTATTTTTTGGGCTTCCGGTCCATCGTAGAGTGAATTTTCGGTCATCTTCCTCGTCAGGGTGTATATCAAAATCTGGGTCGCTTAAGTGGAGTGCAAATGTGGGTTATGTGGTGAAATGAACAGGCTGGTCGACCTATCTTATACTTTGGGTAACCCGTGGGGTGGGATTGCCCCGCACTTGGCATTAATCAATTGGGTACAGGATACAGAGCCAGGGATAAACGATTCTCGTCTAAATGAATGTCTTCATTGAATTTATCATCATGTTGCCTTCTTCTTCCCATGTTTCTTATCGTCCTTGCTTGAGGCCCCACCTTGGGTCTCTGTTGGGACCCAGTTGTACGTGTAAAAGGTTCGTTGCATCGCTTCGCTAACGAGGACGTAGTAAGACTGGCCCTCCTCGTCAACCTCACATTCCCATGAATCATATGAGCTTTTCTTTCGTTTTCCGTCGCAAACGAACCGGATATATTTTCCGTCGAACCACGGTCCGAAGCGCTAATCTCTCACCCTGGTCGCCGAGCATGAAACCCCTCTCTGTTTCTCCTTCCTCTTAGAGGTATGAAGTACGAGCGAATGACGATGCATTGTTAGTCTTTGACATCAATGTCTTTAAGGTAGTATAGATGTGTCCATGTCACCCAACCTGCAACTTGACCTTTGTACTCGAGCTGACAGCAAGGGCACCGGCACTTAAAATACCGAAGGTGAGTTACTGCTGTAGGGAACGGAGAAACTGAAATATTGGCCCAGGCTGAGAAGACAGCGTCTTTGGCTTCTCAGGATGATTGAGGCCTCTTCTACTTGAAACAGACAGGCCTAGTGTTTGCTGAGCTGTCTGTTAGATCCCTTCGCCATCGGTGACCTGGAACAACACCTAGACGTAATGTTCTAGATGTATGTCCTGGAAATATCGGCAGAGTCCAAACTCGCTGTCTGTCTTTCACGTCTATTGACACGGCTTGTTTTTCAGAAGGCCAGCCTTGGTATCCTGGGTAGTGGGCGAGTTGGTCGTTGCTATGCATCCGCAGCCAGGATTCTTGACGGCCAACCTTTCATTTTGACGTCTCGCGGGTCCAATCAATCAAGAACCGGGCTCAAGGAGGACAGCTATGGCGGCGAGATCTCAGCTCACGTGCCAGAACTTTGTTACATCCCGAGGTCCCATGCCGTTCATGGGTACTTAAAGCCCCTGGTCTCCCTCCTCTCTTGCCGTCGCCTCTCTTCTTTCTTCTCAATCTTCTGCCTTCATCTCCCCTCCCATCCACTCTCAAAGCAAGCATGGCAATTCTTAAGTCTTTTCGAGTGATCTCTCCCATCTCTGCCCCACCTTCGACAGAAATCATCTACATCAGCGACGACAGCGACAGTGACGACGATGACGCTGGTCACAGCAGCGATGAGTGCGAGTTCGAGGACGTTTTTCGACGTAGTGTTGACAGGCGCGGCGAGCACAAAGCCAGCGACAAGGAATTCGGCGATGCCGAGATCGGATACGAAGAAAGAAGTAACAATGAGAATGAGGATGTCAAAATCGACTCCGAACAAAGTGATCGCCCCTTCTCACCTGGAAATGCGGTCGATTGCGGGACGAATGATGAATGCGACGTCACTGAAACCGTCCTGCTCAACGAGCCTTGTGATGAGGAAGTGGTTGACCGGAACCTCAACGACACCCGAGTACAAGCAGACGAAGAGCTCAAACCCGTTGATGCGAGCACGGACAATGAGGCCATCAGCATCAATCTGAACAACAATCTTGGAACTCATCATGCCGGCGATACTATCACAGTCCCTGACTACGACAGAGAAGACGTTATCGCCGAGATTGCTGCACTTCGCGAACAACTTACTAGACTTGAGGCTCGGATTGATTCGAAGACTGTCGCATTGCCAGGCATGAGCCCACCAAGAAAACGCAAGCGGATCGCCTCGACAGTTTCCTATTTGAAGAAGCCGAAGATCGCCCACTCAGTCAATATCTCGGCAACTAGAGTCTGCTTGCAGTCGGATAGTGGTTCGGAAAGCCGGGTATACTCTTGGCAACGTGGGCGCGGCGGCCGCTGTTGGGTCAGGGACGAAGGGGCGGGGAGAAGGGACGAGGAGGACGGAGAATATCTGCTGTGTTTTGGCTCTAACATATCCATTGACGTTCGAGTGAACGCTGATTGGCTGCCAATCACAGTGCGTTTGAACGTACAAAAGAACGTGTTTGAGGGTTTTGAGAGTATAGGCGGACGGAGGCTTGAAGTAAAGGATACAGTGATGATACAGCTCATGCGTGATGGCCGTGGTGAGCATTTTGGTATGGTCTCATAGTTGCGAATATCGAACTGTCACTTAGAACGCCTGTGGCAGTGTAGACTACATCACATACGGTTCTCATGCGCTATGTAAGACACTTAGCTGTGCTGTGGGTGGCAGGACAACAGGCAGGTTCCGTTCAATCCTGTGAGCTTGACTTCATCCGTGATCACGGATTTCCGAATGGCAGGTACTATGGCCTGAAGAGTTGAATGTTGTTGATAAAAGAGTAGCGGCGGTACTAGAGGAACAAATAAGGCTATGGCGGCATCGGACCGGAAGCTTACCGCTCCATCCAAAAAACGCTACTGCCTCACTCGCCAGACGAGTCAGAGAGAACAGAGGTAGAGGGTTCCTTGGATCAGGCTCCGCATGCCACCTTTCAGCCTGTCGATGGATTTGGTATGAGCTGCCAGAGATTCTTGCTTGTCCTTGGTCTGACTTCGACGTATGGCTTTGGTCGGTGGCGTGACTCGTCTTGGCATTTTGATGAGAGGACACGGTATTCTCAGTATTTTCATAGCCCTTCCAAATATTAAGACCAGCCTGTTGTGGAATTTCCTCAGTGCTGACACGGCTTGGGAGAGGTTTGTTGGTGCGGGGAGCAGCGGATGGCGCAGCGGACGTCGGATTATTGCACCGCTTTATTGGCTGGTCTCTACCCTTGAGATGGGACAGTCCACACCAACAACAAATGTCCTTGGCCTCGTGGCAAGCTGTTCAGCCTCTGTCTTGCCATGACTAGGTTCGCTTCAGTGTTCTGTAGCGGTATGATGTAGGAGTAGAGCTGTATATAGTTGAGGTTTTCGGGCCCTAACAAAATGACCGAGGTTCTCGGACGTTAACCTCCCGATAAGTGCCCGATGCGGTAAGTAGCCAGGGCGGGGCAACCCGCTGCGAATATAATTGCGACCTACCCGCAGTCAGCATGGATACATGAAGTATAGATTACGCTGGGAACTGTACTTGAACTCTAGTTTTCAATGGTCGCATTCTTTTTTTCGTTTGCGGCAAGCCAGGCAGCCTTTTCGAGTACGGTGGCTGTAATTACGCTATGGTACATTACCATCAGAATGCTGAGAATGCATGCGGACCCTGCGGAGCTATAAGGCTCATAGCTCGACAAAGGATTGGTTAGGCCCGCTGGGCCTGAGCTCTGCAATGTCGGAGACGGTGGCCTAGGAGGAGAAGCCACTTCAAGCTTAGGACTGGGACAGCGACAACCACTTGCGCTAGATCCGATGCCGGAGACTCCTCCTTCCGAAGTCACAGGCCCTTTGGTACCTGTGTACCTTTCTCTCATAGTAGTTAGAGCAGTCGAGGGCCTTGATGCACCGCCGAAACCAGGAGCAAGAGAGTTCTTGAAGTTATTTTCGAAAGGGTACCGCATGTTGTTGCCAGACGGGCACGGAAATATTTCTGGCGGTAATGATGGAGCCGCACTTGTTTCAACGTGCGCTGCGATAGTCTCGGATGGTGGTGTTGCGGATCACGGTACTCAGGCCTGATCTGGTCTTCTCACAGAGTGCCTAGGGCTACGAGCTGTACCCGCCTCCACTGACATGAAATCAGATGCGACGGCTATTTTCCAGGATACTACATCGAAAATACGTGGATTGGGTGAGAGCATGGGGTCTGCATCGCCTGCGATCAGCAGTGAACCAAAAAGTTAGCCGCGCCCCGATCAGAAGAAGGCCGACTAATATAAGTAGGTACTTTTCCCCTCCTTATTGTTTGAGATAGGGACAATGAAAAAATATCATCAGAAAAAGACTATGTGCC